GAAAAATAGACGGAAGCCATTTTGGTCCAAATCCATAACATTTACCAATGCAAAGAGCATTGTGCTTTAACACCACCCTTTGCTGCAGATATGCCAGAGCAAAAGCTTTTTTGGAATACCCTAAGTCTGCCCATGATCTCTGCCAGCAGATTTCTGGGAATCAAAGTTTTCAAAGATGATTAAAACTGTTTTTTCATAATAAATGATAATTGGGTTTGGAGTATTAACTCTTCCGACAGATGAAAGATCACAACTTAAATGCTCTCAGATGAGATTCAGTAGCTTAGAGAAAACCTGTTATTTCCACTCATTCATGAAAACACATATAAACGCAGTTCATGAATTGTATTTTCAGTGTACGTTAGACTGTAAGTGTACAGTTCTGAATCATTTCTAGAAGAAATATGAAAGGAAAAAATTCCACGCCCAGAATGACAAAATATGCTCACATTCCTATAATTTCTTACATTTGAGCCTACTTAATAACAGCCAGTAATTCTTCTGATATTTTGAGAGAGGTAAGGGTAAGGCCATAGGGCGTTGCTATTCTGTCAATGTCCCACAATTTCCTGTGCAAGAGAGACAGAAGAAAGAAACCTGCATGTTCTTGCAAAAACCCACCAGCAGTATCATTTTTCAGATCAAACAAGGAAGAGGGACAGAACCTGCTTCTTGTGCATGAAGAGAGGCAGTGAGACAATTCAGAACCATTAAATTCACACTCAAGCCTTGAAAGCCTGAAGGCAGCTCTTTAGTATGTACCATTTAGCAATAGAGCATTTTGATTTTTTAGATTGAAAATCTAGTTTCAGGGACTTTATTCCTCCAATTCAACTCTTCAGCAGGTAGGAAGTTCCTCCAACTCCTCTGTATCACTAGTATTAATAATTAAAACTCCCAAAAGCTTATTTTCTGCATCACTGATCATAAAAAATAAAAAAGACCAGGCAGAGCGCTATTAAAAATCAGGATTTTTTGCTTGCCCATTTGTTTTAGAGCATGTTAAATCTTTCAGCATTGACTAGCTGTTTCAGGAAGCTGGGGGTGTCACTGAAAAGTTGAGACATTGATTTAAAATGATCCAGCACTTTAAAAGGCATTCAGAAAAAGTCATTCATAGGGGAGACAGAGCAGTGATGGTAGCAGTAAAGCACTGCCACTTCTGTAAGAAAAAAGTAGTGTACAACACCACAGGAACAACAGAGCCTCTCCTGCTGGTTATCAGTCATTTCCAAGGCATTTGATGGCTGATTTTAAGATGTGATGGGAGAAAGTACCACTCTCAGATGTGAGCTTACAACCTGGGCCCTGACCAAACTTTCCTTGTGGCATTCACTTTCTGGGCAATGCAGAAAACTTACAATAATTTTGTGTTGTACCTTGAAAAGTAAGGAAAGAATGTCTATGCTAAAACACATGACATTGTTGGATTGTTTTAACTATTAGGATACGGAGAGTTAATTCAGAATATATGTGATTTTCTAAGTGGCTTCAGAAGCTGTTAAAAAGTCGAGTGGGGAAAGGTAGAGGATGCATTTGAGAGCTTATAATTGTTGACGTTTTCCATTTCCCATCAGGATGACACAGAGCGTGTCTCACGCAAACAACTTTGCTGAAATCTCTTCTCTTCCAGGAAATTCAAAACTGCCATTCAGGATTCAGCTGGCTGCTCCTTCCCCGGCTCGCCGGAGATGTTTTATACACTGCTCATCTAACAGAAGGAACAGACAGAGACAGAGCCTCCTGCTCCAGCCTGGGAGCAATTCCCGTACAACGCTCCGATTCATCTCTAGGCCAGTGGAGTAAAAAATACTACTAATAGGGAGGAATGGAGAGCCCTAAGCTGCAGTGGGAAAAACACATTTTTGTCTGCACATTCTATAGCTTTGGGTCACTGCGTAAACCAGCCACCATTCTGGTCTCGACCACACAAATGCTGCTGAGCTACAGGTATGAGAAACCGTCTGTTAAGAAAAGAGAACAAAATCACCAATCTCGCAGAAACCCTCTGCTGTGGTTCCCGTACTGCCTGCATTGTGTTGCACGCACTTCACATGCAAACAGGTAGTTGCCATTTGACCTGTGCTGCAATTTCATGTATGAAGGGAGAAGAGGGTTAGTATTTCCTTTCTGTATCATGCCGTTCTCACCGAGGGCTCACCGAAGCAGTGTTTCAGAGAACTAAAGCAATATAACACAGATGGGTGGGACATTTTTTCCCCATTGGAAATAAAAGCCATGATCCAAGCCGGCTTTCCCCATCCTCCATCCACCATAACAAAGCACCTCAGCCCCAAGCCATTACCTACAGCTGAAATAACTGAAGTCCTCCAGCTGACTGATACAGCCCAACAAGCAGGGGCAGAAAACCCCACGGGATGCTGCAATATCCCAGCACGGGCTAGGAAGGAGGTTGCGGGACACCTTCTTGCAGCCACGACTCATTTCAGTCCAGCTTCCATAAGGCAACATGATGCTCCATGAATCACTATCTCCAAAGTCTCCCTCCCACCCCATGTCCTTAAGCAAGAGGAAAACAAAGCATAAGGTTTGCATTTCCCATGTCAGATTTAATGAAAAACAAAAGGAAGGGAGGAAAAAACCCTGACTTACTTGCACAGTAGTACGAATCCTTATTGAAAGGTTTCATACAGTGGTAACAGGTTGCTTGGGCTACAACGGAGGTTGCAGTGAAGAGATGTCCATTTAACAGCTTCTTATCTCTTTCCTTCTCCTTGGAATCTTTGTCCTTCTCTTTAGTCTTCTCTTTATCTTTCTCTTTTTCCTGCCGAGAGAAAATGAACAAATGCCTCGTTACTTCGCAGAGGTCTATTCTCTAGTTACAAATTCTTCAGTGTTTGCCTTCGGCACTATGACGATATCGATCGGCATATACCTTAACAATAGTCATGTGTCTGCACAGCTCTCCGTTAAAAAAAACAGCTTACAGCCCCCATGGATGTGGATTAACATACTATTGACTTGCAGAGCCTTCTGCATGGGTGTCTCACCAGCAGAGACGAAACTGAGTCTGTTCTGAAGGCAGCTATTTTCTTGCACCTTTGTTTTATATTTGCTATATAATGATTACTTCTTTTCTTCTAGGCTCTAATAAATCTCTGCACTTTCAATGAATTGTGTTAAGTACAAACACCACGTGTAATGTGTATCAAACTTTCAACACAGTTAATTTTTAAGGCTGACCTGTAAGACACACACTTTGCAGCTGCATTTTTAATGGAGAATGCAAACTCTTCCCCTGTGACAATACAGCACCACTGCCAGAGTATTTCCACCTCCGTTTTCCTTCTGACTAGCAACTTTTTCAACAGTTTCACACAACCCCAAATAACTATGTGAAGCTTTTTAGGGAAATGGATCTTTCACAAACTCTCAAAATATGGCATCACAGAAAGGCTGAGGAACAACAGCAACACCATAAAAGATTATCTTGCCTTCCGGAAGCCACAGTTCAACCTCTGGGCTACTCAGTTTTGGAGAGATGACAAGCAGAGGCAGCTTCTCCAACTTTTAGCAGAGTTTTTGCTTATCTTTCTATCGCTACCTGAGATAGAAAATTGCTAAATACTAAAAATTTGAAACAGTTTTTCCTGCAGATTTTTGTGGATTTGGAATTCTCCCAAACAATTTTTAAAGCAAACTCCATAGAAAAACTCCAAATTTGAATTATAGCGACTCCTTGTTTTTCTATGTACCACCCTTCAAAATGTTTACCATATAATTCAGCTCCAGATCTGAATTTTAACTGTTACTGCAGATTTCATGGCATCTGAAAGAGCAGCTTAACCAGAAATTAGTAAGGGCTTCTGTAAGCTTATCTTTGCATTTTGTAATTTATATGCCACGTGCCCTTTGCTAAATATTGTCAGAGCCTAAGTATCAGAGAGCTGCAGAGCAGCCCATGTGAGCAACTGCTATGAAGCGGTTAAAAGAAGCTTTGAGCTCTGCAGTCACCAGGAGGGAAACTTTTGAGCCTTTGATGACACACTCAAATAATTAGTAACTCAGCCTAAGGTCTCCCCTCTCCCAACACACCCCAGGCAAAATGCCAGTGTTGGAGTCTCTCCCTGCAAAGCCTCATAAACAGAAAGTATATTTACTGGCCTCAAATGATATTTTGTTCTGCAAGTAAGCAAAACCAAGAGCATTACCGGATGGAATAATTCTGTCTGAAGCAGAAAACCTGCCAGGAAGAGTCTGCTTTGCGGCACATCTCCGCCTCCTTTGAGCCATCAGCTCGGATCACCACCCCACGTAAACCTCCGCAGCCCCATTCTCCATCCGCTGATCTGCCCACCTTTAACCATATCCAGCCTGGCAGGATTCAAGAATTACAACTCTGCAGTTTAGTCCTTGGCCTATCATACCAAGTTGACGCCTGGAGTTTTGTTGCTCTATTGCCAGCACTTGTGAAGCTCCAGGAGAAAAGATCACCCTACGCTCAAAGCAGATCTTGCAACTCTCACACTTAAAGTGCTGAAAGGAGATTCACCATCCTGTACTTTAAATGTACCTGATATTTACTGCAAAGCCCAGTAATTCTAGAGTCTGGAATAATACCCTGTCTTCATAAAAATCACTCTAAAACACATTTTAATTAAAGCTGAACGACCCCAGGAAAAACAGGAAACGGGTGCACCACTTTCAAGGAGGAAACAGCAAACTTCACACACGGGATGCCAGCCATACCACTGAAATACAAGGTCTCGAAACAAGAATTTATTTTTAATTTTTTTTGCTGTGACAGTTACTGGAAGGTTTTTTTAATAAAAGGATTGTAAAAACAAACCCATTTTCCTGCGCTATCGGAGCTGCCAGCGTGACTTGAAGCACGGCTTCACGGCTAAACCTGCACCGATGTGCACTAACAGACATGACGGGTACCACAACTCGGTCGTACGGCCCAAAATAACAGACCATGCGCTGCAGCAGCGGAGCCCGCTCCGAAATAACCACAAAACTCTTACCTCCCAATGCTTAAGTCCTACTAGCTTCACTGTTATTTGAGGTACTTCGGCAAATTTATTCCATTTTATCGACATCCTTCCCCCGGGGGCAGGAAGGCTGCTCCCCCCCAGCATTAGCCCATCACGACGGCCAAGAGCTGCCAGCACGGCCGGCCGGGGGCACGGCAGTTAGAGAGGAGTTGAGCAAAAGGGGGAGGGCGGGACGATTGCTGCTAACTTCCTTGAAGATGATTTTAGCTACTTTGCTATTGCTTTCATCTTGCCCTACCCTAGCTTCCACTGCTAAAAAACAAATACTAAAAAAAAAAAAAATAATACAGGCAGGAAAGGATGGGATTAATATTTTATAAGGCACAAGTCAATATAAGACCACCCATTTGAAAGGCAGAGGGTGGTAAATCAAACCCTCTGTGATGTTTGGGATACAGAAAAAGTGAATTTTAACATACCTCAGTGTTGCTATGTAGTACTTCAGCAAACAAAGTGCTGTAGAAGATTTCCCAGACAGAAAGGTTTCACGTGTTTGCGCTCCTCCTGCTCTACAGGTCACAAATATTCACTGTCTCCTAGTCCTTTCAAACACTTACAACTCTTACTACATACACCGAAACACTGTTGGTGGTATAGCACTGCCTAATAACTGCGCAAGTCAAGGAAAAAGAGAAATTACTCACGCTAATTTTTTTGTCGTCATTTCCCAGAAACTCTCTACCAAAATGAAGAAAATGAGTATTTTTTTTTCTAATTGACAGAGACATAGTATGTTTTAGATTTCACAAACATGCATCAGTGCACGCTACTGATTTCAAGAGATTTGCTGACTAATCCCTGAATAGCACAAAGTATATGCCAGGCACGGGTAAATTCACAAACTTCTATCAGTATCCCCTACAGTTAATACTCCAAACACCCTTTTATTTTTAGGGTTTTTTTACATAACGGTTTACACCATTGCCAAAAAGAGCCGTTGCCATTAGTAGGCTCAGATGTGCTTTATTTTACAGTTCATCTTAGAAAACAGTGCATTTCTGAAGGTTTGGAGAAAAGTAAAATCTAGTTGGAAAGAAGTTGAAGCCTCTCTCCCTCCTGACAGCTCAGACAGCAACAGAAACCAACTTTTCCTGCCCAACTTCCTCTTTCAAGGTCTGTTGTTTTTCTTTTTAACTCTTACAGGTTGTCATCAGCCATAATGCTTCTGAGAAATCAGTGTTCCCAAGAATTTTTAGGTCAAATTACTCAGATGTAGAGCTGAAGCCCTAAAAATGTATGTAATGCAAACGTTCCACCGTGACCAGAGAATAAGCTGTAATTTGAATGATATTATGGCTTTTTAGTTAGTAAAAATATCAGAACTGATATCAAGCTGCGATTTTTGTAGTGTGTATTATTGTTGGAATTTTTGAGCAATTCTTTATCAACAGTTTCAGACACAATCACGAAATTAGTGAAATCAGACTGCATCTATTTAACAAAGGCAGAGCAAATAGAATCATAGACTCACAGAACAGTTTGGGTTGGAAGGGACCTCTAAAGATCATCTAGTCCAACCCTCCTGCAATGAGCAGGGACACCTTCAAGCCTCCCACTTCAAAATCAGGTTGCTCAGAGCCCAGTCCAAC